TAATTTCACAAATTGTTCGGGTCATTGGAATATTTTTCCGCTTTAGGGGGATGGCCAAATATAAAAGGCTGAATTTGGTTCAATTTTGAAACCGGGGGGAGGTTTTGCTAACCCAAATAATGGAATTTATAAATACCTTAAATTTTTGTTTCAAACCTTTTGGTAGAAACCGTGAGAATCCCTTTTTAAATACTGATTCCTATTTAAAATTTAAATTCCTTAATCCTTTTAAAAACGGAAAAGGGCAGTTTGTAGGTATTCCCATGTTTTTTATCTATGGGATAGTCTAAAATTATCCTTTATTGTACCAAAATAAATAAGGGTTATAAAATGGATTTAGGAGGAATTAAAAGNCAAAGGTGGGAACAGATTGCCTAAAAATTTGTCCTTTTTATACCTTCCTCAAAAAAAAAAAAGTCAAAAATTAATCATTGCTTTCTTTTTACTCCAATTTTCTTTCTTGTTGTTTTTGTGGAAAGAGGACAACGACAAAAAATTGACACAAAAACAAACAAAACAACAACAAGTGGATCATTCGTTTATATGACTTTCAGATTGCTTCTCATATCTTGGGGAGGGAAGAAGAGAAGAAAATAAGAAACAGTTTAGCCGCTGTGGTCAGCTGACCGAGAATGGTAATATTGTTCCATATAAAAGACAGTTATACTATTTATAAAGAAAAGAATGATAAGCTAACCTCGTTAGCAATTCTTAAATTCTTTGTGGTTTATCCTCAAAGATACTAATTATCTTTTATTAAGTGTATTGCATTGTATACTATTTCATTGGTAAAGTATCAGTAAGAGCAATAATTATTATGCTACATTAACTTGTATTATATCAGAAAGCAGATGATTGGAGAACTGGGCTATAAAGATTCCTGAGCACTTGTAAGGGCCCAATGCATTATGTAGAATATGACTGCCAATGACGAATAAAATTCTCAATTGAAAAAATTATTCTATTACTAGAATATTTGGGGAGGGAGGGGGGATCATATTTCTTATTGAACCCTCAAGACATCAGAATACAAAATGTATCATATTATGTATTATCTTTTATTCAGTTCAATTCAACAGCGAAAACTATACTATATTTAAAGCTTAATGGGTAAAATGAATCAGACTAAAGTATTCCTCAGATTAAATATCTGAATACATTGCTATGGTGTGACAACAATAAAAAAATAAAAGGGTGTTCCTTTATCTGTACTACATCGTTGAACTTTTAGCCGCTGAAATGATAAGACGCCCCAGCAAAGATTAAAACCAATGTAAATGTAATTGATCAAAAAAATTAAGAGCACGTGATTGCCGGGTAATCACAAAGACATCAGTCATTGTTTACGATTGTACGTCATTTCTATTGGGTACATCAAATTTCCAAAATACAATAAAATAAAATGCAATAAAATAAAATAAAAAAAATAATGGTTAATTTAAAGTGTATCGATAACTATATTTCTCCATCTTTACAAGATTTTTCAAACAACAAAGATATTATTTAATTAATAGTGAAGCTGTTCTGTTGTAGAATTAGCCTTTTCTAGAGTTCTTTTTTTTTATTATAATTTTATTGCATTTTTATTTTGCTGTTAGAAAGAATTCTAAGAAATTCCTGACACGAGAAAACATAAATCCGGCTAAGTTGTGAGTCTTTTGTAAAAAAAAAAAAAAAATTACAGAAGATTAATATTCAATATTGTTTGTTTCTACTTAGAACAACTAAATTTGAGTAAAACAAGTTTAGTGTTTATAAAAAGGTATATTATACTTTTGGCTATACATACCACCGAATTTAAAAGGCTCTCAGAGACGGTGGTTGTATGTGTATGTCTATGATTTTAAACTTCAATATACTTTTTTGAATTTTTCTCTTTGGATTTATTGGAGGTACCTTATTTTATTCTTTAATTGAGGACAAAGCCTGAGAAAATATTGAAATTATAAAATCTTATTGTAAACCGAAACTTTGGGTGGTTAGTTTGCATCTGTATATTCGTATTTTGGTTCATACTTAAAAAGCCCTTTTTGATATTGCATTAACAGTGGACATTCCCTTTAATTTTGAGTTAGTTTTTTTTTTCAAGAGAAAGAAATTAAAATAATAAAAAAATAATAGTTGCTTTGTTGCTGTTAACACTTCCCTTCATTTTTTTTCTATTTCATTTTTCGCATAATTAATAAATTATAATGGCTCAACGATCGTCTCATCAACAACATATTGTGGGGATTCATTACGCTGTGGGGCCAAAAATTGGTGAAGGTTCATTTGGTGTCATTTTCGAAGGTGAAAATATCTTAAATAAAGACAATGATAATAATGGCCAACAACAATTGAATCAACCAGTCGCAATCAAGTTTGAACCACGTCGTTCAGATGCTCCACAATTACGAGATGAATTTAGAGCTTACAGAATTTTAAATGGTTGCGCAGGAATTCCTCATGCGTATTATTTCGGTCAAGAAGGTATGCACAATGTATTAATTATTGATCTTTTAGGTCCATCTTTGGAAGATTTATTTGAGTGGTGTGGAAGAAAATTCTCCATAAAGACTACTTGTCTAGTGGCAAAGCAAATGATTCAAAGAGTTAAAACCATTCATGACCATGACCTTATCTATAGAGACATTAAGCCCGATAATTTCTTAATTTCAGAATATCAACGTTTATTGCCGGGGGGTAAAGTTATCAAGTCTTCTGCTACTTCTGCAAATGGTGATCCAAATTTAATTTACATGGTGGATTTTGGTATGGCCAAACAATATAGAGATCCAAGGACGAAGCAACATATCCCTTATAGAGAAAGGAAATCTTTAAGTGGTACTGCAAGATACATGTCAATAAATACGCATTTTGGTAGAGAACAATCAAGAAGAGATGATTTAGAATCATTAGGTCATGTATTCTTTTATTTTTTAAAGGGATCCTTGCCATGGCAAGGTTTAAAAGCTCCGAATAATAAATTGAAATATGAAAAAATTGGTTTGACCAAACAGAAGCTGGATCCTGAGGAACTATTAACGGATTCGATACCTCAACAGTTTGCAACATATTTGAAGTATGTTAGAGGTTTGAGGTTTAATGAAGACCCTGATTATAATTATCTAATATCATTAATGGACGAAGTCCTTGTGAATTGTGATAAAGATCAAAATTACGATTGGATGGAACTGAACAATGGGAGAGGTTGGGACATAACGATAAATAATAGAACTAATCTTCATGGTTATGGTAATCCTACACCTAGAAATAATCATCAGAATAATATAAATAACATTAACAATAACAATAATGGAAGCAATTATAATAACAATACTGCAACAAATATTAACATCAATCAATCATCATCAAATATTAAAACCATATCACAGAATAATCGACATCAGCAGCATCAAAAACTTACGATTTCAAATAATTCTAAGCAGCAACAGGGAAGATTTTCTTCAAGCTTAGAACCTTCAACATCTTCAAACACCAGAAAACTCGTCAAAACATCAGCTACCACTTATGAATCTAGAAGTAACAGTAATAATAATAAAGATAATGTTGGTGGTGAATTTACCAGGCGTAATACTGAACCTTTCTCTAATGATGAGACAAATGTGAATAGTTCTACAAAGTTATTGCATAAAAATATTGATAGTAATGTTAATTACAATATAAGGTCCAATGATGGCTTGGAGGGTAGTGGTAAAATGATGCAATATCAGAGCATTAATTTGTATCATCAACAACAGGAATCTCTGGAAGATGATTCTAATAGTAGTTCAAATGAAGGCATATTGTACAAATTATGCTGTGGATGTTGTTAATTTTTGCATTTTTATTATATAACCAGTTATGAAAAATTTAATAAGATATGATTTTAATGTGTGACATATATTTGTAAATAGATAATTAATAGTAAAAATTCTTGTTATCTAAAATGATTCGATTTTTTAAAAAAATTTAATGTTTTTGTTAAGGATTATTGGGGTTAGAATAGAACTATTGTGTTTGTAATTGTAATATTAAAAAATTTATGTCTAAATGTAAATATTAAAATAAGTATGTGTGTTTGTATATAATTTAGTTTATTGGTATTATTAATTAATTGTTATAAATTGTGGAACCACTTAATGCAAGTTTGTTGATAGAATATAGGCTATCTGAGTGATGATGTTCATAAGTCGAATTTTGATCCGTTAAAGTTGAAGCAGAATTCTTATTTGAGTCATTTCTATAAAAGACTTTTTGGGTATCATTTTTTTCAGTTGAATCATTCAAAGTTGAATCAGAATGTAATTCATCATTGTAGTTTATATTTTGAAGGAATGAACATTGAATATTTTTAATTTGATGCAGGCCCAGTTCATTATTTTTTAATGTTAATAGAGAGCCATCATTTAAAGGGTTCATTAAATAATTAGAATGAATAAAATTTGAATTATAATTTGAATTACCAGAATTTCCATTAACAATAATATTACCACATTCATAGACGTCATTTATTAAATTTTCATTAAATTCTTGTACAATTGTATTAAAACCTTGTGAAAGTATACAATTTTTCATTGATTTAAAATTTGTTAGATCCCAAGAGATAATATTATTTTGATCATCATTTGTGAATAGAGTTTTCTGATTCTTTTTTTCAGATTGATTAAATGATAAAGATTGAATATAGCCCTTTTTCGGATCAATATTTAGAACCGGTGAGAAATCAGTCGATCTAATATCCCAAATTTTTACAGTATCATGAATAGTATTTGCAATATGATAATTATCAATCCAAATACAATCTAATGAATTAACATTTGAATTTTTACTTTCATGATTTCTTAAATTAGGTGAATATTGATTTGAAATCAAATTATTTGGCTTATCGGTATTATTAGAACGTAAATCTAACAAGGATAAACCAGAAGGACCAAAATTTGAACCTGATAAAGCTAATAAATTTTTGTTTTCATGTTTTGCAACAGAACCCAAACCTTGGAAAGATTGTAAAAATATTGGTTTTTTCCTATTTTCTAAATTATAAATGAATATTGAATCATTTATAATGGAAATAAAATTATTATTAAAATTCAAAATTTTTCTGATTGGGAAGCAATCTGTTTTATTTAATGACTTTAAATAAGTTTTATGATTATAATTCTTTAAAATAGTTGCATTCCCATTTTCCAATGAAGTCTTAATTAAATTAATATTACCATTTGAATCACCGGATAAAATATATTTACTGTCGCTTTCTTCTTGTAGAGTGCCCCTACTGCTTTCAATATTAAAATCAGTAAAAGTCGAAATTAAATTATTGTCTTTTGGTAAGTTAACTTTTTGCAAATTAAATAATTTTTCATTCATAATTTTTAAAATTGATAGATTACTATTATTTGAAATTAGTATATTATTAAATTGATCAACTGATAAAGAATTGTTGTATTGATCAATTGACGCGATGTCAGTACTATTATTATTATTATTATTATTATTAAATTGGTAATAATTTGAGTACAGTTTTTTGGTAGTATAGTAGTCGTTAAATTGATCAGAACATTTTCTTAAAATATCTTTGTTGGTTGTATTTGCGCTAGATGTATTAAACAAAACATTTTTTTTCTTCAACCTTAATTCGTTTCGTTTTGGAATGCTGATAGCGTTGTTCCTAAATAAGTTTATAGGTTGATGGTACAATAAGTTGTTGTTAATAGTGTCCGCCATTTATATAAAAATTATTGCAGTATGATTTATTATAAAAGATTTGTAGTAATATGCTTGATTTACTGACGTATTTTACGAACAGAATAATTATTTACACAAAGAAAAATGCAAATATCACAAATGTATAGTAATTAGAAACAAATAATTACATCGTTATACAAAGATATGACCTTATTTATATATAATTTTAACAATGGATGAAATAGTTGTTATGAATCTTGCCAGCAATTGTTTATATGCTGGGTTATAAATGTTTATATGTTTTTATTTACATTTAAACAATCAATCTTCTATTGTTTGTATACATTTTACAATCTAAATAAACTTTACGGTTATGGAAACCAGTAATAAACAAACCGAAGTGCAGCATAACAACAAAAAAATCTGGTGTGAGACCAAGACAAAGGAGCGCACGCTCTATTTATCCGTTGTTTCTTAATTTAGTAACAATAACAACAGAAACAGACAGTAAAGAAAAAGAAAAAGAAAAGAGAAAACAATTCGTCGCAAGTTTTCCCGCAAACTTAGACCACGTGAATAAAACGTGACCATATAGAGGAGTTAGCGTAATAGTCTCTAATTTCAAGAAATGGACAGCATGTATAAGGTACAAAATATTACCTTTCTTCAGTTACTTTACACTCAACAATTACAATTAATATATATGCATATATAAACTGAATAGCGGTGTAAACAATAAATATCTTTGGGGTACTATATATGTCACTTCATATTACAAGGCAATCCTACATTGCCGAGCAACTAACTAAAAATATTACCAGTGTGACACTTATTAAACTCCCACCTTGTGTTTTGTTAGATAGTCCCCTGTTATTTCTCAAGATACATTATATATTAAATCTAGGAAATTGTTTCCCCATTGTATTTCTCAATTTAACAAATTGTATATATACATTGAATGCAGAGAATACATTATTTCAATATATTCTGATATTTTATATCAACCTAGGCGTTGACATTAAAAGCTACAATCCTAGAGACTAAGGTTATTGTTATTCCCAATACGATTTATTATACACAAAACTGTTTAGCAATATATTGTTTGTTAGGTATTAATCATTATCAACTCCATAACTTCTTGTGTCAGGAAGTTTTACTATTGCATACTCCTGATAAAAACATTTATCCAACAATTAGAGACCATTAAAAAAATATATGAAATTGAAATTACCAAGTGAAGTGAAAGTAAAAGTTTGTACATAATTATATATATTTAATCTTGTTTCATACTATATTTAGCATAAAGATCGATCTTATCCTTAAACAGCACTATTACCATTATGTGCATCGAATTTAACTAGATCTTACGACATATTTTATTCAACGACACAGACGTATTTTATATAACGATAATTAAAACCATCATTGTTATCAAAATAATAATAATAATAATAATAACAATAAAAAAATTAGTAACAATATTATTAACTGTATTAGAACTTGCTAAATAATGACAATACTTAACGAAGAAGTTCATGTTAAAGATGTTACAAATTTAAAAGAACCAAAACCTATCTCGGAAGAGCTTAATATAGAAACGAAAGTAGAGTTAGTTAGTTTATTAAAGGATATCAATTCTATTGTTGATGAAATTGATAAAGGAATATTTAAAAAATTTTACGTCCCAGACATAGAATATTGTTATAAAATTGAAGATAATAGGGAACTTTACAGTCCAGCAATTATATTTTGCTCACTTTTCAATCTTCTTTGGAGTCATGGACTAAACTACGAAAGTGACGTTCTGTTACTTGGACTTTCTGATAAAATTCACAATTACCTAGTAAATATCACTGATGGAACTATAATGGAAATTGGTTGTTATTGGTTGACTAACTTCCACACAGTGGATAGATATATGAATGAGAGACTGGAATTGTTACTGAATGTGAATAACAAATCAAATGATAATAATATAGACGACGAGAGTTATAAAGAGGAATTGTTCATATACACGACAAGAAAGAGACAATGTGAGCTTATATGCACTGATATATATAATATTTGGACAGAAAAAATATGTGTCATCATTAGTAATTTATTGCATCCTCCAACCTTTTTTATCGAAACAATGCCCGATTTAAATGGCAATTTCGATGAATACATACCAAAGATGTTTGAATCTGATGTGATGAGAGCTTTGGATAATGTTTTGGTATTTTTTGATCAGGTTTTCTGGAGAATGAAGTGTCTAAATTTGGAAGACACAGTGGCCGAAAAGACATTAAAAACTTTATTAAATTATTTTGATAAAATTTGCTTCAATGGTCTTGTAACTTCCCCAGGATTATTTTTAGAGAACCGTTCAGTTTCTTTTAATTATAATTTAAATAAATTTTGTCAGTACATTGAGAAATATGAATTAACCGAATTCGAACCATTTCCATATTTGTATGAGATTAAAAGACTATTAGACCTCACTAAGACCGAACTAGCAAATGCTACTGATTGTCTACAATTAGCTCCAAAATTAACTTCGATCCAAATCCAATCAATTCTATGTAAAAACATTTTTGAGGACATTAAAAACCCTTCATTGATGAAGTTCTTAAAGAAGAGCACCAAAAGGGGACCCGATGAAAAGCCTGTTATAGAAGAGCTATTAATAAGCATTGATCATAAAAATGTTGATTATCCTTTTATTAACAATTCTTTGGATACATTAAACATTAATGAGATATTTATGCCAACATTACTAAAGATTCCAATAATTGAAAAGATAATGACTTTATACAAACCTTCAAATAAAATCAAGCATTGCAATATTGGATCCAACGAATTGAAATTAGAGAAAACAAGCTCAAATGATAGCTTCAAAATTGAAGATTTTATTGAGTTCAAAGATTAATTTGTAAAACTTTTTTTTAAATTTGATATGTAAGTAAAATATACAGAATATCTATATTAGTTTTCCTTCAATATATAAAGAGATATATTAAGTAGTTCGATTCTTTTTTTGAAATTGGTCTTGAGTGTTATTTTAAATGATTTTCTTTCTAATGTTAATTTAGATTAAATGTCATCGATATCGAATTCAGAATCTTCCTCTTCATCTTCATCTTCATCAGCATTACCGAATTCGAAGTTAACATCTTCATCGGATTCGAAACCAAAGTTATCAGTTTCGTTAATCTTAGCGTTTTCTGGTAATTCACCTTGACTCTTCAAAGTTCTAGCTTCATCCAAGTTGTACTTGTGAACAACATCACATTGATCATCTTGGAAATCTCTTAAAGAAACCAAAATAATATCACCTTGACCCATCCATACTCTCTTTCTCAACTTACCTCTAATATGGGCCATTCTCTTAACACCATCAAAACAAGTAGCTTCAACTCTACCATTACCTAACATTTTGGTAATTTGAGCATACTCTTGACCTTCTTCTTTGTAGTACAACTCACGTTTTGGACCATCGGTCTCGTTCTTTCCTCTTCTACCTTTCTTACCACCTTTAGTGTTCTTCTTACCCATGATGAAGTATTATTTTGGTCTGCTGTTGCTCTTGAACCTGAATCTAATACAAAAATCGAATCAAATGTAACCGTATTTCAAATATTAATGTCCTTTATTCAAATTATTATAGTTGGTGTGTTCTCTTTCATTCATTCATTATTTGACAAAATTTTGATGTTTGGACAAAATTTCAAGATGCCCATCCGTTAATAATGATATGATGGTGTAATGAAATATATGATGATGTAATGAGATATGATCTTTAAGTGACAGCGATGTGATTTTTATATCATTTGAATAACTAATTTCCATGTTATTAATTGAAATTGTTACCAATACAATATACAAGTAACAAATAAATGTGTAACAATTTCTTATATAATGGATCTTGTCCTTTGCAATTTTTTGAACCTTTTCTTTTGAGGACCGTTAAAAAATAAATAATTAAAAAGAAAAAAGATAGAAGGAAAATTTAATTTACTGTCATTTAGGTTCATTGGAAATGAAAAATTAGGAATCTATTAAGATGTTGCATAAAAAAACTACTTGTATATAAATGAGTACGTCAAAATGGAAATCATGGCATGTGTTTACTTAACAAAAAAACAAAAAAAGAACACATAAAAATCTATCTCCGGATTATGATTGCTTTGAACAATCTTTATTAAAAGGAAAAACCAAACAAAGGCGAAATAATTTATTGGAAATGAAATAAAATGCAAGAATCGAATGAAAATCTATGCCCCTTCATCTCCTGTTAATTTTTCGAATACCTCAGTTGCCAATCTTGGCAATATGTGACAAAATCGTAAATAATTCATTAGAACCGTCAATATGCTCTTTGGCGAAGGTAGAAGGGCACTACCCCCATATACTATACTGTGTCCGTAGCTTAGTCTAGATTCCGAAACTTCATTCTTAATCATTTGGAATAATGGTTCAATTACTGGTGATGATGAACCTGTAATCATTAAAAAGTCTACTGGGCTTTGAGATGATGCTCCAGAATTGAAAAACTCAGAACGTTGGTTAGCAGGGTGCATCATTGAAGCATTTTGAGAACCTGGCATCGATGAATTAGAATCATTTGAGTTTGTTGAACTGTTGTAAAATTTCAACAAGAATTGAGCTGCAGAACTAGACAAGCCCATTTGTTGGACAAATACAATATTCTTATGAATATAGGCATGAATACCCCTATCACCAAACAATGTGTTAATATGAGTAATTGCTTCACCAACAACACTTGCTACACGATCTTGGTCTTCCGCATTTTCAGTGTGAAATCTGATCATGGAATCTGCAATCTTGTAGTAAGAACCTGGCAATCTTTCAACTTTATCGTCAAAAATTTTTACAACTTCACTTTTCCATCCGACTTCCTCGACAATATTATACCACGAGTTGTTTAATCTAACATAAGCACCGTTTTCTGCAATCAATCCAATATTGACAACACGGCTGTATAAACTTTCTAAAGTAGTCTTCGAGAAACTGTTCAAAACATAAACAATATTTTTGGTAGAAAGTTCGTTCAAAATTGAAATCATCCTGGCGGTTGGTGGTTCAGATAACTTGAAAATAAACATACGTTTTTGAGAAGCTTTACAATCTCTGTAGATTCTTTCTGAAGAAACGTAGAATACTCTCGAAATTTCTTGATTAAATTCCCAGGAATTATTGATATTTTGTAATGAATTAGAAATCCAATTATCAGAATCATTAATGATGATACTCTTCATCATTTGCTTCCAACGACGTCTCTTCTCTTCAAATGACATCTCCAAAGCTTTCTTGATATTTTCAGAAACATTTTTAATGTCCCATGGATTAATCAATAATGCTCCCTTTTTCAAAACATCTGCACTACCAGTGAATTCTGACAATAGAAGTGGAGAATTCTTATCTTCAGAGCATGCAATGAATTCATGACAGGTCAAGTTCATACCCTCTCTAAAAGCATCGACAAAGAATAAATCAGCTTCACAGTTAATTGCCAAATATTGTTCAAAATCAAGATCTTGGTGTAAGAATGCTACCGGCTGCGTGGTACTGATGTTGGATGAAAGAGAGTTTATTCTATCTACAATTACCATGATCTGGCGTTCCAGTTCAGAATCCTTCCCTGTTCCCAAACAGATTTGAATCAAGACAACATTTTCGATATATTCAGGATTATCTCTTAAAAATCTTTCATAAGCAAGCATTTTCTTATCCAAACCACGCGTACGGTCGAATTGATCACGTCCAACAATTAAGTTCTTTCCCTTCCATCTTTCTCTTATTAATTGACGCCATTGTAAAGTCTTTTCATTCATAATTCTTTGGTTTGTATTAAAGACATCAATACCCAATTGGTGAACAATTTAACGGAAATAATCTTACCCTTATATTTCAATCCATCTTCACCTGATATCAGCCATTAGTATTCTATTGAAGTTTGAAGAAAATGTCTTGCATTTTCTTTTGTTTGAAAGCCAACACAACTAGCACCAATAATCCATTTCAAAATCTTTCTTCTTTGAGCAAAACATCTAAATACCTCACTACTGGGAAGGATACAGGTAAGAAGAACCCAATTTTGGCTGAAGGTAGTGCTTTTCTAACCATTCCAGGTACCAACATTAAGTGATAATCATGAATCCAAATTGTATCACCATCATTATAAAGATCAATAATTTTATCAGCAAATTGTTGGTTTAATCTTTGGTAGTGACTCCAAGAATGATCCTCAAACGCCTTTGAATTTGGATTATCTGGAATTTGGTAATGTAGTGTAGGCCATAAAATCTGTTTACAGAAGTTCTTATAAGCACCCTTAAATGTGATATCATCGGTTATAACAGCTTCTGCTCTATATTCCCTACTCAATGCATCTGAAATGTTCGTAACAATATCAGAAGGAACTTCATCTGTTGGAATACCCATTGTACCAACCCAAGTAAAAGGTTCTGTTACAGTTTTTTCAAAGCTTGCAGTTTCAACAGCATTCTTTAATGCACCATTACCTTTTGTCCCTGGTACAATTTTCCATGGCACTTGGCTAAACAATTCACGAGAACTTCTTAACAATGAAGCCCTTAACTTAGCATTATTAGAATAACCACCAAATCTAGGAACATTGTATTTAACCTTGGCATCACTCTCCAGATCTGAATCAGCATCATTAGAATCTTCATGATCTGATTCCATAATTACATTATCAATGGAGCTGGTTGATAGTTCATCGTCGAAGGCTGAATGAGAGTACTTCAAGTTCGAAGATAAAGTATGTTTAGCACTTCCTGAAATAGGAATTCTCTTCATTGCTGGTAATGCCGCCTGCTGTTGATGCTGCTGTCTTACTTTTGCAAAATTCACAACTGCCGAGTTCACATCAGGTACAATTTTAGATTTTGGGGTAATAACTGTACTCTTTGGGGAAGCGGATTGATACCTTGAGTGTCCCTCTAAGGAACTTTGAGAACCACCCTTATTCATTACTGACTGGTATAATAATGACTTGTTAACACTCTTTAACAAAGAAGAAGCAGAATCATTATTTACAGGATTCAAAGGTAATTGATGATGTTCAGAACCTGGAATTGGAGAAGATACAACTGAAAAGGAAGGTGATTCTTTTTGATCACCCAACTGTCCAGAAGACAAAAAGAAATCATCCACAGAAGCATTCTTATTTTTACCCATTTGATTTATAGTAGGAGTGCCTGCTGCAGTAGCATTAGCAGTTAAATTTTCCAAAAAATCTTCAGCTGATACGACATCCAAGGCTAAATCTTTCTTTGACAGTTCAGGATGGCTATCTTGAGAGCTTACATCAGGAGGTTGGAAAGGAGAACTTGAATGCACTGAAGAACTGCGTTTCACCTTAGCACTTTCATTCGGAGAATTGACTTTAACCAATTGAGAATCTAACAACTCAGCAGTTTGACCTTCACTAGCATTCAACTCAAATTGAGGTTGGTATGGCAAAAATAACGAAGCCACAATAATCGCCATGAGTTACTTCAATTTACAAAATATTTATCTTATTAATAGCTTACCAAGTATATAATGCAACCTTGGATACCACCTACTTTATAATTGCCATGGCAACAGTAATTTCAAAATAACTCAGCTAATTGTCCAATTAAATAGACTAACATAATTTTTTACTAGATGGGACCGTCAATTGATAACATGTCCTACAAATCGTTTATTAACAATTTGGGTGGTAAATCCAAATATTCACAGTCGGGGGGGGGTCATTTGATACTTTAAGGGGCGAATTTAACCGCTTGCCATTCACAAAACCCCTTGGTCGGGCAATTTTTCCAAAGATTATAAAACAACCATTTCTTTAAGGGTATCCCCTTAGGGCTAAACCAACCTTGGTGTTTCATGGCCGGTTTT